TACGGTAATTCTGTTATCAGAACTGAAATGCATTTCTTAGCAGTAAGATTAATTATTAAAAATATATATATCAAGCAATAATATTTAGGTTTAACGCATAGCTTTTGTCTTCTGGTTACAATTTATAATAGGCACTAGATTAAGAGATAAATATTTCTTAATGGAACTAAACATGAATATTTAGGTTTAGCACATAATCTGTATTTTCTACAACAGTTGGTTATTGATAGACTAAGTTTTCTCAAACTATGTCGTAAGCGTAACGAACAGCTTTTCTCTATTTATCTAGGGTCGGCTTCCAATACGATGGATGGCTCCTGAATCTTTATTTGACAATATCTTTACCACAAAAACCGATGTCTGGTCTTTTGGGATTCTCATGTGGGAGATCGTCACTTTAGGTAAAAACACATAATATACAAGTTAAACAAATAATTAATCGTATAATGACTTAGGGAAGTTAATTTAGAAACGTTATAACACTTTACTGTTTTATTATATTACCACCAGTAATTTAGGACTGCTATATCTGTTTGTCGTGGACGACCTCTATCGGTAAATTAAGAAACTTTGTATGTTGAGTGTATGTTTTAAATTTGATGGGTTAAAAATCCTACCATCTTTCAAATTTCACGTAGCTGTACAATAATTGATACAGGACAGAAAAACAGTAACAAAAATAAAGTTATTTGTTTTTTAGTTATTTTAATGAACGGCCAATAAATTGGGTAAAGGTTTTAAGTTCGTGAAAATATTTTAAATATGTTATTCTATGTAATTTTGTATTATCTTAATAACCAAAACCAACTACATTAATATAAATGAAAATATTTTGGAGTTTTAACTAAATAACGTTTACAACTCACATTCGAATGTACTTAAACTAAAATATTTCATACCTTCTTTATTATTATAATTTATAATGTTCCATATCATAGACATTTATATGTGTTAAAATACCCCTAAATTTGCTCGTGAAATTTGCACACGAATGTTTTATGCTAGAGCGTCATAGTTACTTTGATGAATAATAATTGTCAAAAAAAAAGTTCAAAGCGTTCATAACTCTATGCGATGTTTATCTAGGTCTGATGAATGGTGAAACATCTGTAATTACATACCTAGTTATCAAACTTTCCGATCTGCATGATTTCTTACCGTTAACTGTTTTACATTTTAGGCTTATTGACTTACGACTTGTTATTTTAGTGGAACGAGGTTACCGGCATATCACGTGCGTAAAAACAGCACTCGGCTTTATACACCATACATTATAGCTACATTCGTTAATATTAACTGCATTGATTATAGCTTTCTATGTCGTTTGATTTAGCGAAGATTTTGTTTTGAGAAAGTGATCACGAATTACTTTGAGCGATAAGTAATTGACTAGGATAAAACATTACGAAGTCATTCTTAGTGTGATAGCCTCCCGTTACCCTAACTTATTAAATTCAGCGTATGTAAGCTCTATTGTTTTGTAAAATTCATAATGTATGTACATTACTATATAAAAAATATACGTTTTTTTTTACGTTAAATAAATGCTCTTTAATTGTGAACTTTCACCCCTCTTATCGGAGCCTTCATGATCCAGACCCAGCACCAAATTATCTGTGGCCCTTGCGCAGAGATTTATAGTGGGGCTTTTAATACCTTAGTTAAGTTTTCTACTTAACTCTGAAATACAAAAAAAATACAATATACGAAAAACAAATAAGTGCATAATTTATCAAAATCAGTAATTCTATAATGTATTTAGAGTACGAATAATGAAAGTTTTTTGAGGGCTCTGGTGCAGTCACACACTCACACAAACACATTTCCTACAGTCGAAACTGACTCCATTGGATAACAGTGAACAACACAAGTTCATTTCGTGGAATACTTTTTTTAAACCATGTTTCTCAAGTTGGCCAAATATGGTGTTAAGGGCAAAACATAAATAGTAACGATAGTGCTGTTTGGTCAATTTTGAGCCCTTAACAAGATTGTAATTACTGTTTATTATATTTTCAACTACAATTCTTGACCTTTTAAACTATTCTGCGGTAAGTAATAGATTCGAAACTTTATACATTTGGCTAATTAATGATACCGAATTATTTTTAATTATTGGATGTTTTAAAATATTATACTTAAATAAAAATATTAGCATCCTGATGTTCAAAGTTATTAATAATTAACCTTGGAGTAAAACAGTTAAAGGCTTGCAATATTTAATCGCTGATAACATGTATTCAAACAGGAAAATGTGTATTATAATACTGAACATGTTCATGGCGTTTTTGACATAACTGATTTACGAACGTGGAGAGAAGAAATAACGGTGTTAAAAATGTTGACAATGGAAATAATGGCTTTACCTGTGTTGAGAAAGGAAATAATGGCTTTATCTGTGTTGAGAAAGGAAATAATTGGCTTACCTGTGTTGAGAAAGGAAATAATGGCATTACCTGTGCCGCGATCTGTAATAATGAAATTATATATATACGTTGAGGAAGGTAGTACTAATGACATTATATATGATTAGGAAGGTACTAATGACATTATATATGATTAGGAAGGTACTAATGACATTATATATAATTAGGAAGGTACTAATGACATTAAATATAATTAGGAAGATACTAATGACATTATATATGATTAGGAAGGTACTAATAGAACTGTGCATATTACGAAACGTAAGTACAGCACCAAGTCTGTCGAGAGTAGTCATAATATCACTACTTAGTGTATGTCTGCGGACTTATACCACTAGAAACCGGGTTTCGATACCCGTGATGGGCAGAGCACAGATAGCCCTTTGTGTAGCTTTGTGCTTAATAATAAACAATAATAACAACAACAACTTAGTGTATGAAGAAATATTATGTCTCATTAATTATATTTTTTAGTTATGTAACATGATTATGTGACAATAATCATAAAACGAACTAACAAATGTTGGACTTGTTCAATGTTAGACTGCTGTCCGGCTCGTAATGAATAACATGCATAGACTACTTACCCATTCCTCTGTATAGAAACGAGGATAAGCGGTGTTATTTATAAAATACCATGGAAGCAATCAATAAAATAAAATTAGAGTTATGTTTAAAAGCCAGCATACACAAGGAAACACGTTTCCAGAACAATGTTTCACCAAACACGTTTATTGAAAAGTTGTCAATAGTGAAACATTGTGAGCGTACTTTTGAAGTAAAATTGTAGAAGGATTCCAAAGCGTTTCATCTTCTGTTTAAATCGACATGTTGCAAAGTCCCATGACAAATTCACGCTAATAGAGTCTCTCTTGATTGGCCAAAGGCAAAATGTTTCCTGGAAAAATGTCTCAAAGTAGAAGTCAGATCTACTCCGGTGAAACATTTAATTGTTTCTTGAAACATGGAAACAGCCACTGTGCACAAGGACACATAGTGCCTCAAAATATGGAAACAGCCAATATACACGAGGATACATAGTATCTCAAAATATGGAAACATCCACTATACACGAAGGCACATAATGTCTCAAAATATGGAAACATCCACCATACAAAAGGATACATAGTGTCTCGAAACATGGAACTAGCCACTATACACGAGGACACATAGTGTCTCGAAACATGGAAATAGCCACTATACAAGAGGACACATAATGTACTCAAAATATGGAAACATCCACATACAAAAGGATACATAGTGTCTCAAAATATGGAAACATCCACTATACACGAGGATACATGTGTCTCAAAATATGGAAACATCCACCATACAAAAGGATACATAGTGTCTCGAAACATGGAAACAACAACCATTTACGAGGATACATGGTGTCTCGAAACATGGAACTAGCCACTATACACGAGGACACATAGTGTCTCGAAACATGGAAATAGCCACTATACAAGAGGACACATAATGTCTCGAAATATGGAAACATCCACTATACACGAGAATACATAGTGTCTCGAAACATGGAAACAACAACCATATACTAGGATACATGGTGTCTCGAAACATGGAAATAGCCACTATACAAGAGGACACATAGTGTCTCGAGATATAGAAAGAACCACTATACATGAGGATACATATTGTCTCGAAACTTTCCTCACGTACGATTGTTTTAACAGAGCAGCATCTCGTATTGAACTGTGTAACGAATAAAATATAAATAAAAAGGAGGGGTTGTTTGAAACAGACACAGTTACCTTATTGACACCTGCATTGGACGCCATTTTTTTTTCGTGTGTCACCGATAAATGGCTCATTTAAACAACTGAAGGAAAACAATTGGATACAGTCAAAAGCTTTCTCTTAAGTTTAATTAAGAAAACGAAACAGCTCACAATCTGTTAAAAGACAAGTAGATCAACAAAAAATAAAAAGCGAATGAAGAATCTCTATTATTCTACTCGCATTCACCTCACCGCTGCGCTAGATTATATATATGTGTGTGTCTGAGTATATTTAGAGTAAACCGCTTAAACTATTATATAGATTCTTTTGGTTTTTGCTTTCTTTTTTTTTATTATTCTACTTGAGATTTGATCCATGTTTGTGGGCCCGGCATGGCCAAGTGGTTAGGGCGCCCGACTCGCAGTCTGAGGGTCGCGGTTTCGAATTCCCGTCACACCAAACATGCACACCATTTCAGCCATGGAGCGTTATAATGTGACGGTCAATCCCACTATTCGTTGGTAAAAGAATAGCCCAAGAGTTGGCGGTGGGTGGTGATGACTAGCTGCCTTCCCTTTAGCCTTACACTGCTAACTTAGGGACGGCTAGCGCAGATAGCCCTCGTGTAGCTTTGCGCGAAATTCAAAACAAACAAACAAACAATCCATGTTTGTGTAGGTTTGTGTGAAAAGACAACGAGATCGAACTAAAGTAAAAAGCCGAATAAGGGGGCTAAATACAGGATTTGCGTAAAACATGTTAGTCTGGGGAGGCAAATATAAAGAAAAGATATATAGATGGTTTAAGCAAGGTAAGCTGGAGAGATCAGTTACCCTACAGTTCTTTTTTTCGTAACAAGAAGGGGTGAGTATGATTGGCTCTGACAGGGTGAGATAAGCAGCACAGGCAGTAAATCGCTTGTATAATTTATAATGACAGATTTGATTTTGTGATAATAAACATTAGCCATACAAGAAAATATACTTTTGATAATTTATAAGCCAGATCACTGTATTTTAATGTCGGTTATTTATTACAGAATTGAGCATAATTATATATGCAATGCATGGATAAATTACATTTCTTTATTTTTGTTGGGACTTTACTGACAATATGCTTGACACAATAAATTGGAAATATTTTTATTTGATATGGTTATATGTACTTGATTTGTACTTTTGTAATAAGTCATTAAACAAACAAGATACTTCTAAGATTCGCGCAGACTTTCTAAATTTCTCCGTGGATACCTATTAAGAATTTTAGCAGATTTTTATGCGAAGTTGGACTGCCTTTATTCAGAAGATTCTTTAGTCCATAGTTGCGTGGATATAGAAGTGTGAAACTGAGACAATCACATGTGGATATAGAGGTGTGAAACTGAGACAATCACATGCACGTATCTTTGTCTACACCTATACGCATGAAAGAAAAATGGCGGCCTCCAAAATCCGCCATTATACAAAGACAAATATTAACATTCAACTGATGAATTTTGTTAAACTGTTTTAGATGCCGTGTATCAAAGTTTTGTCATTCACTGAATGTTTTAGTTGCAGTTGTGTCAACCCCTGAGTTCCCTTTTAAAAACAAGTCGTATGTTGAAAAAGGTACTAATCGTGTTAAATGTATTGAGAAAGGTACTAACAATGTCAAACCTGTTCAGAAAGGTTTTAACAATTCTAAATATGTTGAGAAAGTTATTATAATTGAAAAATGTATCGATAAAGGTGTTAACAGTGGTAAATGTATTGAGAAAGGTGCTAAAAGTGTTGGGAACGGTATAAACAGTGTTAAATGTGCTGAGAAAGGTGCTAAACATGTTGAGAAAGGTACTAAACATGTTGAGAAAGGTACTAAATGTGTTGATAAAAGTATCAGCAATGTTAAATGTATTGAGAAAGGTACTAACAGTGCTAAATGTATTGAAAAAAGTACTAACAGTGCTAAATGTATTGAAAAAAGTACTAACAGTCCTAAATGTATTGAGGAAGGTACTAACAGACCTAAATGTATTGAGGAAGGTACTAAATTTAGCACTATTAGTACTTCTCTCAACACATTTAGCTCTGTTAGTACCTTCCTTAATACATTTACGACTGTTAGTACCTTCCTCAATACATTTAGGTCTGTTAGTACCTTCCTCAATACATTTACGACTATGTTGGAAGAGGTACTAACAGTGCTAACTGTGTTGAGAGAGGTATTAATAGTGCTAAATGTGTTGAAGATATTTCTACGCATGGTTGATTAGGGCTAAAGATAATACATCAGTAAAGAAATGGCAATAATGTTAACATTCTATGTAAAACTATTTTCTCGTTTTTAGGTTCTACTCCATATCCAGGGCTGGCAGCAGCTGAAGTGATGAGACGGGTCAGAGATGGTTACCGGCTGGAGAAACCGGATCACTGTAAAAGGGAGATGTACAATATCATGCATTATTGTTGGGATAATGATCCCAAAGAACGCCCCTCGTTTTCAGAACTGGTCTGTCTTCTAGACAAGCTTCTTATCAGTGAGCACGATTACATAGAGCTAGACCGATTTCCAGACCATTCTTATTATAACATTACCAATCTCTCAGGAGAAAAACTGTAGATGCAACTGAGATCTTGGACTTATTTGCATATGATCGTATTTTTCAAGTTTCTGAAAGCTTGACCAATGTTTAAGAAAGGATACCGGGTTCTGTTAGAGCAGCGAGGGAGAATCATCACATAAGATACGTTACCTTATTACGTGTCAACACAATTTAAAAATGCTCACTGGTGTTCGGTGTCTTGATGGATAATTTTTACTGTACAAAATTCGTGAATTAATGCGTTTTATTGAGACTAGCTCATTGAAAGATTAACGTTTGCCAGTATGCAATGCCAGTGTATCAATCAACATTATAAATACTGACAGTGCCTTATTACCGTTAGATGGCACTAAGTGTTAGTGTCACGATTTAAAAAAAGATAAAAATTATCCATACAATGGGGGGGGGGGGAGATTCGTGAAATAGTTATGAGATGGGAAGCAAAATTTGATGTTTGCTCAAAACTTATGTTTGCACAGAGCTTGTATGTTGTCTAGAATATTATAATGAAAAGTAAGAACTATTAAAGATATTCAGATTGTTATGCAGGTATTTGTATATGTAAATACACAAATTACGCATCAGACATGTGTACGCAGTTACGTTGAGAATGAGTGTATGTTAGCGTATTATATTTTTAATAATAATTTATCTTTACCTGAAATATCAGCGAATGCAAATTATGTATTTATTGAAAACGATTATTGTGGTAGATAATATGCTAACGTAGGAGAATCACTGGAATTAGCACGAAAAAATTGTGTTAAGTTGGTGTTACTTCCGTTATCAGAAATTGTTGAGATTGTCTTCCGACTTTAGAGCTTTTCATTGGTCACATCATGCAGCTCTTGGCAACAAGTGATGTATATAGCATGTGAAAACCCACAGATCCTAATAAACCTCTTTACCATTACATCTTCTGAAGAAAAGTCAGGTGTCGGCTTAGAGTTAATATTACATCTAATTAACGGACATCATAACTGGTTAAATGTTTACATTTATCCTTAGATCTGGTTTCAAGAATTAAATGTATAGATTTTTGTCTGGTTAAGTATCAAACGAAGGATGGAGAGAACCAAATGAAATACGTCTAAAATGAACTGTCTTCACGCGCAGTTCAGACTATATAGCACGTGCGTTGAATGGAATTATAATGGAATAACCAATTACAAAAAAGTAGAATTAAAAGATAGCAAGCTGGCTTTCATCCATACATTAACAAAATTAGGACAGGTAAACAGTCAAATCTAGTTTCAAACATTATATTAATAACTGAAATAAGAAACAATGAAATCAATAATCTACATGAATATGCAAATACTTTAAAGATAGTGAATTGCGCAAATAATCAAGACTTGTATCATTGTATCATATGAGCTTTAAAGTAATAAAAATTCAGACCAGTTTTCATTCCTTTATTTAATATTCTACCTTTCTATACCTATCTAAGCTACCCTTTTATGAAACTATAGAATGTTTAATGAAAAGGCTAATTATGCTATTGAATACCGAAAATATTGTCAATACACCTTATGTCTGACTGAACTAGCTAAAGATTTATAAACGGGTAAGACAGGTATGCCAGCTCGCGAAATTCTAAAATTTCGAAAGTATTTGGAATAAAAACAATGTCTTGATTTCTGTCTCCAGATGAAGCCTGGTATAAATTACATCCAGAGGATAAGGCTTTTTCGTATTCTCGGCTTGTAATTCGTAGAGATAAGTGGTTTTAATGTATTTGTTTTTTACGTCACTCGAACGGGCAGCAGTGTTGATAAACAAAACTATCTGTCGTAGTCATTACGTTTTGATTATGGTGAGCATATTTGTGTTCAAAATTGGATGAACCCTAAGACTTACGACGAAACTCGGGTTCTAATTTTACTGCTATGATAGCGACTAAAGAAAAGTGTCCAGCTAACCCTTGTATTAGGGTTATAATATGAATATTCCGGTCTGCGGAACAAATGATTACTTTCTTTCCGTATTGAGTTGTATGTAAATCGACATCATAAAATTTCAAGTATGAGTCTTAGGTATTTGGGCAAGTTAGTCCTATAAACTTGTGTCCACTCTTCTTATTTACAGATACAATTACACGTTTATATTAGTATTTTCTCCGAAATAAAACTATTTCATTATGCTTATAAATCGATCTTTGTCGGTTTAGTATTATTTATATTAGCAAAATGTGCTTCTATACGTAAATACAGCTATATGTTAATATACATAACTACTCTTGCCCCCCAGTGGCACAGCGGTATGTCTGCTGACTTCCAACGCTAGAATCCGGGTTTCGATACCCGTGATGGGCAGAGCACAGATAGCCCATCGTGTAGCTTTATGCTTAATTATAAACAACCGAAAGACTTTTCAAATAACGTTAAGAAAAACCTTTTTAGGTGGCGTATCTTGTTTAGTCTTCGACTACTGTCAAGTCCATAAAAAAGTATATTTTTTAAAATAACCTGAGTATCCTAGTTTACGACAAACGTACTATGTACACGTACAATTATGTAAAAAGTTACCAAATGTTGTAAATTATTGGACTAGTTATAAGAAAGGACTATTTTTTTCTATATATATATACACAAGAAATGTGTTGAAATCCATTGTAAATAAATTTAGGTTCCTGTATGCGGAAATATTTTCAATGTATATTAAAATAACATTTATGTGTATTTCTATTTCAATAAATTGATTTATCAGAACTATTGCTTATTTCGTTAATTTCTTCTAAAAAATCTGGTTCTTTCATTAGCTGCAAATTTGCATACACGTCAGAGGTTAGAGGTTACCCGAAGCATCACTCAGTCCAGCGTGGGACTTCGTTGTTAGTGCGATAAATGTAACTGAAGTATATAACTGTATAACTTAAGATAGTGTAACATGTCGTCAGTGACTATTTTAAAAATAACGTTTCTATCGTACTTGGACTCCGTCCTCTGGCATAATGAAGCCAGTAGCTTTTAAACTAGTGAAATGTTATAACAACTTTATTGTTGACGCTTATCTAATCAAAAACAGCATAGCTGTAAAAAACTTTGATTTTTCCATCTTTCGGTCGCAATTCCTTCTCTTTTTTGTTGCCGCACCTTTTTTTTTTCTTTTTTTTTTTACGGTTATGCTGTTTTTGATTATATATATCACTCTTTTTTTTGTTGCACCTTATAACCATAAAAAACATAAGTTTAATACTCAGATATAGTTTGGAATAACTAGCATCAAGCACCTATTAAATTTGGCGACATTATAATTGCATGAGGGTTTCTTCAATACTTTAATAACTTTGAGTTCATATCTTTTAGTTGCTTTATTTATTTATTTTTGTCCACATCTTTTCCAGCCAAGTTGTTTTTCAATAGATATCATGTTCCTTGTATAGTTTTATATAGTAGATAAAGTGATATTACAAAATATGCTAGCTATATGCCAGAAACGAAGGCAAACACTTACCAGGAAGCGTTTTTATTAGTTTGAAGTCTGATCCAAAGTAGTACGCAAAAATCGTGTGAAAATCTTTACACGATGGTGGTTTTGGGCCCATAACTTCCAGATTTCGTGTCCGATTTTTATAAAATTAAACACGGTCCACTAATGTGTGGTAGAAATTTCAGCCCGATCGAGTCATCCAATGTTTCTCCAGGCGAGCTCAAAAATATACGAGATTTTAACGTAATTTTTGCCCATATCTCCGACAATACCAGAGCTACTACAACCAAATTTGCTGTCAAGCTAGGAAAACATATATGCCAGCTATGTAGCAAACTTGGAAGAAATCGAATGTTGTAGTTTCTTCACTGGTGCGAAGGAGAAGAAGAAAACGAAGAATTTCAGGCTAAGTTTGGCCTGCTGTAAAACAATAAATGTTAAACCGATCTCTTTGAGACCTGGGAAACCTACCATTCAAAAATGAGAGAATTTTGATTCACAGGGGCGATTATACGGATGGTTGAAAATCCAAAGTTTTCTTTCCTGTTAATAACACATTGGGTGTCGTGCGTTTTTTGTGTGTTTTTTACCGCACGACACACTACTGTGCGTCTTGTTAACGAACATAAATTGAAAACTTTCCGTATTAAACAATTCATCCACTTTTAATTAACATCATGATTCGTAATTCAAGTTTTGTTTTGTTGTTAAGCACAAAGCCACACTATGGGCTATCGGTGCTGTGCCCACCACGAGTATCGAAATCCAGTTTTTAACATTATAAGCCCTCAGACTTACCACTAAGCCACTGGGATGCAATTCAACTAAAGAACACAAGAAAGTAACGAACCTTGTATTAGCTATAAGAACTAGTCATGTAAAAATTATTTGTAGTATAATTACAATTTTAAACAGATCGTTTAACCATATAAATTCGTTCAGAATTAAATTGAAAGTCAAAATTAATAAATAGTCAGTTAACATAATCCGAAAGCGTTAATAAGTTACAATTTCCATCAAAAGGTGGCAGGAGCGCTTTGTAAAAGTTACCTCCAGCCGTTTGCTATTCATACATGATTCGCTAGAAAACAATATTTTATTGAATCTGGACAAAAGGTATGTTGAGGAGTCTTTTTGCTTCTTGTTAGCTGTTAGCGAGCTTAGTTTCAAGTCTCCAAACTAGAACCGTTAACTTATTATATGACTATTTGGAACAAAGTAAAGACAATACGAACAACTCAAAGTGTTATAATATTTCTTGCTGGTGTCAATCAGATAAGCATAATTAAAGCTCTATGACTTTTTAAAAATGAACAATGTAAGTATCGATCCTGTAGTGGGAAACAAACCAAGTATTTTAATATTTTACTTTTATAGCTTTACAAGCCTTCGAAATCTTAACTAAACTAAACTGGTTAAAGATGGAGACTGGCTCAGTGTAGAAAATAGAATATCTAATATTTATCCCTCCAAGGAAAAAAATGTCAGAAAATTTCCTTACTGCCTAAATTGCCTTTAAAAGCTTTCGTAGAATTTTTCCTTTTACCATAAATCTCGTAGGTTTTATTTTACAGAAGTTTTTATCGGTTTTACATAGTAAAACTTTGGTTAATTTTATTCACAACGTTTCACCATGTTTACCTGGCATCATAAGGTGTCATACAAGAGTTAAGGCTAACGGAATTTAATTTAAAAACATAAAAAAATAGTTCTTTCTAAAATTAATTTGTAGGTTTTATGTGCGTTTTTTTATACATAATTCTTTTCTTACTTTTATCTAAAGGAAACTTGATACGTGTAAAATTATACACAAAAAAGCAATTATAGGCCTAATCAAGTATTGAACACGTTTATCCTTGACATCAATACACAGCTGTAAGAGTATCATACAAGAGGTGACTGAACAATTATTATTATATTTTACCTTAGTATTTAATGATTTTCAGAATATCGAAAAATTTCAAGATCTACATTAATATGGTAAAGTTAACAGCCTTTCAAAGATGTTTGAAAAAATTCTAATCAAATTTGTTTTTAATGCCGAATGATTTTTAGATTTTATAAATCATTCATGTTAGTAGTTAGTAGTTCTGAAACTAATATTAAACGTTAGGCTTTCGTCAGTAGACCTTAGGGCACGTTTCTGTTGGAAATCAGCAAAAGGTTAGATAAAAATTACAGCTTGGAAATCATTAGCAGTCTAATATATTGATTCGTCACACCCTAACTGGTAAACAAAAATAAATAAACCAGCTCGTTTATACAGTTCTTTAAAATAAAAAGTAGTTGATAAATTGTATGAAAAGGGAGCTTGGTCAACATTCCGACCAAGTATCCTTCGTCGGTTTTTTTTTTTTTCATGCCGATATAATTATTTGTCTCTTACGTTTATGAACCTGTATTGTTTAAACAATATAAGTGGCTTTGTCAGATAAACCCGTTTGTCTAGAACAGTACTTATGGAATTACATATTTTATCGATTGTGAAAATATCGTGAAAGAGGATTTTAATACAAACGACAATATATAATTTGCGGGTTATTTGTTGATAAAAATGTCAAAGACAAAAATCATATTGAGAAATTAAAAAGAAAATTCCAAAATATCGGTACTAACATTAAAGAAACTCTAACAGGTAAATGATTGTCATTTTATTTCTGTGGCCAATGTGACAAATAAGTTATAAGTAATTGGCATATACGAAAGCTTTTATTGATTTGATGAATGTTTAGAAATGAAATGGAAGTGCCATTTATTGAAAATTTCAATGGCGACATTTCGACAACATTGAAAACTCATATTTATCAATACATATCGTATGTCATACTTTAATATACAGTAATGATTGTTGAATTATTGATACACTAATATGTTAGTAATAAGTAAAACAGTTACCTAAATATGCGTTGGTTTTCTAAAGGGACTACGAAATCAGGTAAATCCAAACAAATCAGTTATCACAAAAATTTATTATTCTATCCCTCTGACTGATTAATGGTGATAAGTACTAATATGATGAAACTTCATTAATAAATAAACCTTAATTAAACATACCTTAAATTATAAAACTTAATATGTAAAGATTAACCAAAGTAGAGTATTTTATCATGCATTAAATGTGCTGTCAAACATAATCATTCTCTGATTCTAAAACTGGAGTAAATCGATAGTTATAGTTACTTCTTTGTTACAGTAGTTAGTTTCTTATCTTAAATGTCAAGTCGTATCCAGTAATTACAATAGATCTATTTTCTGTATGAACGGCAATGGGTAGCGTTTTAGCCGGTTTTGAGAAAGTGCCTTGTGGATGTAATTCCAGACACAGAAGTAGAACGAACAGTACAATTACAGCAGACAGATCTACACACAGGCTAAACATATATATCCAACTGACGATTAACAAAGGTAAGCAATGATAATAAATTATTCTGTTTTTGTGCATATATACAAGTGCTTATTTTGTGCGAAGCAATATAAAAGAATCTTTTAAATCGTTAATTTGAAAGAAGTTGCTAAATAAATGAATTAGTTACTATGTTTGAAAAATTTCATTCATTGGAAAGGAGCTTAAAACGAATAATTCGTTTATTTGTTTCTTCGTATAATAGCAAGTAACTCAGAAACCTGGTCGCTAATTTGCTATTTCGTTTTTTTTTTCAGTTGGCTTTTTTTTATATATTTTTGTAACGTTGGGCAGGTTGTTTTAGGTTATTTGGTAAAAATAATGCCAAGTCCAGTCTACGTAATGATAACGAATTAATTTATTATTTCTCTAACGATTGTTTGTTTTGAATTTCGCACAAAGATACACGAGGGCTATCTGCTCTAGCCGTCCCTAACTTAGCAGCGTAAGACTAGAGGGATAGCAGCTAGTCATCACCACCCACCGCCAACTCTTGGGCTACTCTTTTAACAACGAATAGTGGAATTGACCGTCACATTATAACGCCCCCACGGCTAAAAGGGCGAGCATGTTTGGTGGGATTGGGATTCGAACCCACGAGCCACAGATTGCGAGTCGAGCTCCTTAACCACCTGGCCATGCCGGGCCTATAACTATTGTTACAGACTACGATCACTTTGACACAAGTTGTAGGACTTGACTCACAAACTACGTTTAAACAGAAATTCTGAAACTAAAGGTATACCTAACTCACAAACACAGAACTTACTTGCAGAATTTCTGAAAACCATTAAACGATTTA